ATGGTTAGTTGTTAATGTGAGTTTTTAGCTTACACTAAAATGATATTTAAAATAAATAATAAAAGTTAATTTGATGTAAAAAGGTGAGAGAGATGATGTGAAGCGATAATTAGTTAAAATATGTGAGTGAAGTAATTGTGAATTAAATTGATATGACATATAAATATGATTGATTGATATTATTTAACTAGTGCGATACTGGTGCGATGCACGAGATACTTTTATTAAGGTGAGCATTTAGATTTGAATAATTGGATGATTGGAAGAACATAAAACGCATGCATTGGAATAAAACAAAATGTATCTTATACATTATTAAACACATTCTTGTACAAAACATTATTTATTTGGTCTTTTGGTACATCATCTATCGCATTGCATAGCCAAATGTGACATAGATTGTAAAACGTCGTTCTTGGTATTATCTATAGCCTTATTATTTTAAAATTTAAGGAAGGTAAAAATTGTAAAAGTGTATGCAATCAATTTCAAAATTGTATTTTAGAGGATTAAACAAAACCCAAAATTTTGGTTCAGTCCGATTTCATTTTGAATTTCAATTTACTATTATTTGACTATGTTTTATGTTTAGAAAAATCCAACCTAAAAAAAGTAGTAGCCAAATGATAAGGAATTTTTAAATTTTAATTTTTAGTTTGAAATTGGGCCCAATTTCTATGCAATCCGATTTTTTTTTATAAACATGATATGTTGCAATTAGGTAAATATACATGTTACAGTATTTTTTCTAATTCGAAATTCTCGATCTATGGTAAACAATTTTTTTTTTAATAAAAAATGAGAGAATTTTAACTTTTACAAAATTGTCATGCCGAATTTTACCTCAATTAACCCGATTTCTATGCAATACAATTTTTTTTTATAAACAATTGATGTGTTGCAATTATGAACAAATATATGTGATAGTATTTCTTCTAATTCAAAATTCTTGATTTTATGGTAATTAGTTTTTTTTTTAATAAAAAATGAGAAAGAATTTTGACTTTTGCAAAATTGTAAGCATCATCAAAATTTACTAAATTAAATCCACAAAACCAATGAATATAGGATGCATATATAGCAAATCGATTTTTGAGAATAATTTAAAAAGAAAATTAAAAAACAGCCAAAAATAAAATACAATAAATGCTGGTGGAGTTTTTGTTACTATTTTTGATAAATATGTTCCGATCTCTTTATATATATATATATATTACATAGTATTGCTCACCTACCCACGGTGGGCACATGTTAATATGCCCACCGCTTATGTGGCATGCACACGTTGGTGATATTAATATCTTCATAAAATACATCACCAATGTGTGCATGCCACATAAGCAGTGAACATATTAAAATGTACCCACCGGGGTAGGGGAGCATTTTTCATAGATTACATTGATAACATTGATGATAATGTAATTGAGATAGATTTTGAGTATTAGTTTAAATAATTTGTAAGAAAACCACTATAAGAAAATGATGAAATTCCAACGGAATTATATTCCAATGAATTCCCACGACAATTCCAATAGATAGTTCAATGCTATTACTTCCGTTGGAATTATTCCAACGGAAATTCCAAAAAAAAAAAAAAATATTCCATTGGAATGAATTCTCCATTGGCATTCCTATTGAATTTTGACGATTCCAACGGTGGTAGAATTAAAAACTCCAACAGAAATTGCATATTTTAGCAAAAATTCCTACGGTGAAAAGTCGTTGGAAATATAGACGTTAAAATCATCAAATTTCATCCAAAATTCCAATGAGAAATACAGTTCAAAGAAATACTTTCGTTGTAATTTCTATTGAAAACATTTCAACGGAAGCTATACATTGAAATATCCATTGGAATATATTAACATAAAATTTTTCGTTGGAATATAAGATTTTTTTTTTTTTTTTTTTTTTTTTTTTTTTTTTTTTTTTTTGTAGTGAACACACCCTAATTTTTGCAATAATGTTTCATGAGCTAAGCCCAAACAAAAATAAATAAATAAATAAATAAATAAATGTCAATGCATTCTTTATATTAATGTTATATATGTATGGAGATATTATGATAATATGTGTAAATAGATGGGATACCATGCCTACAGTCAGCAAAACTGAGGGGGATGAATTTACAGCAGAACAAAGGTCCACATTCATGTGAAGTGAAGCCCATCAACTCGCTCCTATTATCATCTTTGCCCCACCTAACATACTACGCCCCACAACATATACATACATATATACAGTAGTACAACTATTTATGGAGATAATTAATTACGACTGATCCCACCTCCCATCCAATCAAAAAGATTAATTACAATCTAGTGTACAAAACAATCTTTGTCATATCTTTTTTTTTTTGGTACAAAGCAAGGAGGCAAAAGCCTAAGGGCAACAGGTGGGTATGTTCCGTGGGTAGGCAACGCCAGCAAGGTCGTGATGCAGCCACGGAACAACCGCTGATGGAGGATCATATAATCTCTGGTAACCACAAGGGCACTGGTGGGCTAGCGAGGCCAAGCAATCAGCCGCAAAGTTCGCTTCACGAAAACAATGGTGAACTGAGATCTCCCAGTCACGGGCAAGTAGGTTCCGGATGGCACGAACCAAGCCACCATAAATGCCAAGGTTGTCACTGAGGGCCCCTGTCGCCATAGATACGACACTTTTATTATCGACTTCAACAGTGACCTTACGGCAACCCAAGTCCCAAGCTAACGACAACCCTTGGAATAGCCCCCAAAGTTCGGCACCTGTAATCGAGCAATACCCAATGTTCATGACAAAACCCCCGAGCCAACGACCCCCGGCATCACGGATGAGACCCCCAGCAGTTGCGACCCCTGAAGATGCCAAAAAAGAGCCATCCGTATTAACTTTGACAGCGTCACTGACAGGAGTTTCCCATCGAATGAAATGAACTTCCCGACTTACACCAAGACCGCCAAGCCGTTGTTCGGCAGAGGTAGCAGCTTGGATCCCTTGTACGCAGTAACGAACATCCCGGGCTTTTTTAGCGATGTTAAACTCCACGTCAGAGAAAATCTTCTCGTTTCTACCCCTCCAGATCTGCCATACAGTAACACCAAAGATGGTTTCCCACTCGTCCACATCAATATTCAGGCCATTCTGCAAGTTGATGAGCATCCAGTCGTGTATCGGTAAAGTAAAGAATTCATGCCTGTAAGAATTAGTTAGCAAACTCCGCCACACCTGCGATGCACCAGCACAGTCTCGGAGGCAGTGAAGGGTCGTTTCCTCGTGACGGCCACAGAGAGCACAGGTCGGAGAATCCGAAAGGTGTCTTCGTCTCCTCTCAACGTTAGTCAACAATTTTTCCTGTATGGCGAGCCAAAGGAACTGGCGCACCTTTTGCGGCCCAACCCAGGTCCAGATGACCCGCCAAGAGGCCCGATACCGTGGAGTCGAGGAACATGCTGGGACGAGCGATGAGTACGCCGATCTGGTCGTAAAGCGTCCATTTTCTGAAAAACCCCAGTACATGGTGTCAGGACCCGCTCCCAGAGTTGGCGGCATGAGGGCCGCAATACGTAGCAAAGTGCTAGCGGGCACCAAATGGCTAAAGAGGTCCCATCGCCATTGACCCGAATCATCGACATAATAACAGACCGGCCACTCGAGTTGCTGGTTGGGAATGGGCCCCAGCGCCACATCAAAAAGAGGATAAGAATCGAGAAGCCAATTATCTCTCCAGAAACGAGTAGTGGTCCCATCACCGATGGACCATCTCACCCCATTACGAACAAATGGCCAAACCTTTTGAATTGCTTGTAGAATAGCAGAGCCCGTTAGAAACACAAAGTTAGCATCCATCAAGGCAGGCGTCAGCTTATATTTGGCCAATAAAAGTCGAACCCAAAGAGACTCCTGTTTAGCCAAGATAGACCAACCAAGTTTCATCAACATAGCCATGTTCATTTGACGTTGTCGTTTGAGGCCCAATCCACCGGAGTCTTTGGGTTGACAAACCGCATCCCAGGGTACAAGATGGATCTTCCTTTCCAGATTGCTCCCTCCCCATAAGAACCGACGACATCTTTTCTCCAGCTCATCGCAAATCGCCGTTGGTAGCCACGCGGTTTGCATCGTGTAAAAAGGTAAAGAGCTTACCACCGATTGCGTGAGTACAAGGCGACCGGCTAAGGATAGTGTGTTCGCCTTCCAGCTGGCTAGGCGTGTGTCTGCTCGTTCAATGATATTCTCATACGTATGGTTTGTAATTCGTCCATGGATAACTGGAACGCCGAGGTACTTTCCAAGATTGGTGGTGATCGAAAAACCCATCACCCTAGCCAATGAATCGCGTGCAGCAGGAAGAATATTCTTGGAAAAAAATACCTCTGTTTTAGCTTGGCTAACCTTGAGTCCTGACATATTGCAAAAGTCCGCTAACACCGATGTGACTAGTCGGGCCTGGTCTTCGGAAGCTTCAAGAAAGAAAAGGAGGTCGTCCGCGAACATGAGGAGCGGGACACGAACCTCTCCCCTGCCAACCGAAATAGGGCGCCAAGTCCCAGTTTGGACATGGGAACGAATGAGATGGGCCAACCTCTCAATACATAAGACAAATAAGTAAGGCGATATTGGATCACCTTGGCGCACCCCTCGGTTGGGAATAAAAGCATCACTGAGGGATCCATTGAAACTAAGGTGCATAGCCGACGATTGAACACAAGCCATGATATTCCGAACAAAGGGAAGAGGAAGTCCCGCTGCACGGAGTGTTTCATCGATAAAATCCCAACGTAAAAAATCATATGCTTTTTCAAGGTCGACTTTAATGACCATATAACCACGACGACCCGTTTTAATGCGCATGGAGTGGATTAATTCTTAGGCGATGATAATATTGTCAGTGATGTGGCGGCCGGGAACGAAACTCGACTGGGACTGATCGATTAGCTGGGGGAGAGCGGGCTTCATGCGATTAACCAGAATCTTCGTGATAATCTTATATGCCACATTGAGAAGACTAATGGGACGAAAATTCCGAATAGAAGAAGGGTTCTGGACCTTTGGTATAAGCACAAGAGATGTCTCGTTTAATCCCACAGGTAAGTCACCGCCATTAAGAAAAGAGCGGATCATATCACACACAGTCGAGCCCACCGTATTCCACTGTCTTTGGAAGAACATGGCATGTAGGCCATCGGGGCCCGATGCCTTCAGTGGCTTCATATCTTTGAGAGCGAGAAAGATCTCCGAGTCACTCACATCCCTATTCATAATTGCGAAGAAACGCATATCGAGCTTCGGGAAGAAGTTAGCCATGCCTGGCCCTGCATGTAGTGGTTCGTCGTGGGAATAAACGTTTCTGAAAAAGTTAAGGGCCAGTCGTTGAATAGAGCTAGGATCCTCAACCATGCTACCATCATCGTCTCGAAGAAAGGTGATGCGGTTCTGGCTTCTGCGTTGCTTGACTGCCCGGTGATAAAAAGAAGTGTTTCGGTCGCCAAACAAAGACCAGTCCCTCTGTGATTTTTGCAACATAAGGAGCTCCTCCTGTAAAGCAATCTCAGCAAGTTCCTTACGAAATTTTTCTTCCATTGAATGCAAGCGAGGGGTGGTATATTTTTGGAGTTCGCGTTGGACCCCGCCAATACGTCGTAAAAGGCGTTTTTTACGTTGGAAGATGTTCCCAAAGACATGGTAGTTCCAGTGGGTGGCCCGTTCTTGAAAGCATCGGCTTGCTTCCGTGTAAGGTTTACCAGACCAAGCTCCTCGAACAACCTCTGCAAACCCATCATGAAGGAGCCAAGATGCAAGAAAATTGAAGTTTTTCCGTGTACGGACAGGCCGAGGGTCAGACGGAACACGAACAAGGAGCGGGAAATGGTCCGAGTTGATGCGTGGTAGATGTTGGACAAATGGTTTGTGAAAAGTGAGTATCCATGCTGAGTTGGCCACAAATCGGTCAAGTTTCTGTTTCAGGCCTCCCCGCTCCCATGTATACAGAACACCATCCGTGCGAAGCTCTTCAATGGTGTTGTTAAAGAGCCATGTTGAGAACTCCTGGCTAACAGGACTCCGGGTAGGTGCTCCCCCCGTTCGTTCACTTGGTCGAAGAATGCAATTGAAGTCACCGCCTAAGAGCCAAGGTTCGTGGATATTCATAGCTAATTTCTGAAGTTCCTGCCAAAGACCACGGCGGTGCATGGCATTCGGACTAGCATAGACGAAGGTGACAAGAAATTCTATACCGTCTTTCAAGACGCGGGCATGTATATATTGGCGGTGGCAGGAAATGATCGTAAGGTGAACCCGGTCCTGCCATAAAACCCATATCCCGCCAGAGAATCCAATTGCCTCGACACGAAATGATCGGCCAAAGCGACTTTTTTTAATAAAGGCGTCGGCCTTCATACCGCTGATGCGGGGTTCAAAAATAGCGAACACATCTGGATTATAGTGGGACTTTATCGTGGAGAAGCTTCGGAAAAAAGCCGCCGAAGCAGCCCCTTGTACATTCCAAGTAATGATATTCATCAGGAAACCCGCAAAGAAGAAAGGGCACACATCAGGTCGAGCTAGGAACTTGAGGAGACGTAGCAGCCTCATCCAACATATGTGCATCAACCTCAGCGTCTGGAGAAGAGTTCGATGCCCCAGGTTCATCTCCCGGATCAAGGAGGTCCGACGCGTCACCAAGCATGTGCGGCGAGGCATGGTTGTCAAGGACTTGGACAGCTTGGTGCTTCAAAGGATCCAGTCCAAATGTGAGAGGGACGTCCACGGTACGTTGAGCAGCAACAAGATCAAAACGAGCTTCACCCATGTTCTCATGATGATGTTGAGGTTTCACAGGCTGCTCATTGGACTTACTTACGGAGGATGCCGAATTTTTACCCTCATCAGCCACTGGTACAGTCACCTTGGAGCAGATATTTTCAGTTGGTCCACCTCGACCTTGTCCTTTAGTTCTTGTTAGCCCTTGTACCTCTTGTCGAGCGCCAACAATCGAGCGAGGAGTTGCCCCATTTTTATCCGTTGTACCACCCTTTTTTCGTGTGGCTTTGAATCTCGTAACCGGCGCTTGAAACACGTCTTTGCCTTTAGGGATGTCGTTGAAGGGGATGTTGGTTACAGAATCTCCATGGGTTGGATCATGCTCCGTCTCTGCCTCCTCCACTAACGAGGCAAACCTCGACCCCGACGACCCACCTACAGGTTGTCTTTGGTTGTTAGTGGATGCCACCACCTTCGTGGTCCATGTTTGTTGTCGAGGCCTTGTCTTGACCCTCATCCACGGCCCAAATTGAGGTTCACTCGCTCCCTCATTTGGACCGGCCTGTACATTTCGTTCCGTCTCAGAGGTTTGTGGCCTATTCGCTTCTGCAGCCGCACCCAAGCTGTTGCCTCCGCTCACATCCTCCAGGCGGTTGGGGCAGTTGGATATTTGGTGACCACAGCGACCACAGAAGTAGCATATGTCCGGTAGCATTTCGTATTCGATTCGTTGCCTTTTCCCTCGTATGGTGAAATGGGTGCGGAGAGGGCCGGACAGGTCTAGTTGGACTGCCAATCGGGCAAACTTTCCACGTGTCTGGGTCGCAGTCTGGTGGTCAATTTTTAGAACCTTCCCAACAATCAGACCGATGGTGCGAAAAACCTTCTTGTGATAGAGGTGTACCGGCAAACCCGGCAAGCGTATCCATGCAACCGTAGAGGTAATCTGGTTGGAGGATTCATCAAAGTCATCCGACCATTGTTGGACATGTAAATAGTGCTTGTTGACTACCCAGGGGCCACCAACAAGGGCAGAGAGGACATCCTCGTGAGAGCGAAGTTGTAGCATGAAGTAACCATTCTCTGCATCAAGTATGGGACATCCCTCAGCAAACGGCCATAAAGTCAAGAGCTTCTTATGAAGTGTCTCCATACGCATACGTAGGCCTAGGAGCTTAACCACAACAACGTTATTGAAAGATTTAACACGGCTCTCATAGAATGACTCTTTCATTTTGATATCCGGGACGGGGGGTGAGAAATCTACAAAGACATCATCGTCTTGACCAATATCATCTACCTCTGTGTCTAGGGCTACATGAGGGAGGTTCTTGTTGAGAGTTTGTTTGAAACTCAACGGGTGTGAATGAGAGACGGGCTCGGTGAGTGGAGCGTGACTTTCCGAATATAGGTCTGAATGTACCAAAGGAGGAGCTTGTTGTTCTAGGGGTGGTACCTGTGATGCCGAGGGGGCTGGGTTGTCAGATTGAATCGAGTTCACCAGCGGCAGGTCGGAGCGCCTCTTCTTCGAAATTCGGGCACCAGCAATTCCGACAGGGTTTGCTACATTTAGAGGAGGAAAATGATCTGGTGGATCCCCAATTCCAGTGGGAGCTGTTGGCGTGACGGCGAAGTCCGACATGGTTGACACGGCGGAGAAACCAAGGGACATTGCTATTCTGGTTGAATCTTTGTCATATCTTGATTTGTCTTTTCACAAAGTAGTACGTACGATAAACGAGACAAAAATATTAAATGAGTTATTTTCACAGCCTTGTCCGTTTAAGTCTAAAAAGTAATAATGTTATTATCTATTTTCTACCTCTTTTAATCAACGTTAAGTCTAAAAAGTTATTAAGCCGCCATCTGACAAATATGTATGGAGTTATGTGATCGTGTCTCATAAGTCACAAGCATTATGAATAACATTACTAATTATTCATTCAAACTTTTATTCATTGCAAATATATTAAAATAGTTTATATAACAGCCATTAAATACCACTTTCAATATATTTATAAATAAAAAGTATATAAAATTTCTGGTGTGTTCAAATTTAAATAATTTTTTATGGTCTCAGTTTAAATCATCCAGACATTTGGTCAAACGCATAGCTGTGTTCAAATTTAAATTATTGGCATTTTGGTCGGTTGAAATTTAAATCATCTACCATAGTACTGTGATGTGTATTATATATATACAATTTTTTTAACAAATAATATGTGCTTTATAAAAAAAATAATAATAATTTTACAAGATTTTAAACGTAAAATTTAGTTTTTAATCACAATAGAAAAATCATGGTAAGTTATATTGAAAAGGTGTTATGAGATAAAAAAATTAACTAAAATAACTAAATAAATACTTGATGGAAATAGAATGCATTAATTACTTTTGACTTTTCTTACTACTAATTCTAGTAAATAGAATGCCTTTTTATATAAGTATAGATGTGCATGTAAGATTTTTTAAACTATTTTTTAAAGAAAACATGTCTAAAAATAATTAAACTTAACATGTGTTACTTATATGTGAGTATATATATATGTACATATAGATAGAATATGTAAAAAAATATGTCTGAACATTTTGTTTATGTATCTAAAATATTATAAGCCTAAATAAAGACATTATCTCACGCTAAAGTTGTTTTAGAGAAGATTTATAAGATATTATAATTATGATGTTACTTCCATATGAAGATTTGACTACACAATATTCACAAATTACTATCATTTTTTAAGTTGTTAGCATAAAAAGGAATTTGTACGCTTAACAATTTATCAATTTTACAAATACAAATTGAAATTAATGCAAAAGCTATCAATTTTACAAATACAAATCGAGATTAATGCAGACCAAAAATTATGTGACAAATAAAAAGAAATTTAATATGTAATTGAGATAAAAAAACGAACACTGACGACTATTTCTATTAACATTTACAATGTGTATTTAATGTTTTTTTTGGCAATATATTCTTTCTAAGTGTGATATATAAATATTAAAAATACTTAAAATATTTTATAACATCTATAAAAGCATCTAAAATATTCTATATTATTCACAAATAATGTTTGAAGCTACCTAAATTTTTTTAAACTACCCGTAAGAAAAACATGTCTAAAAATTCTTCATTTAACCTCTATCTATGTATATATATAGTGAGCAAATGTGTAAAAAAAATTATACAAATTATATCTAAAAGTATCTAAAATATTAATAATTAGACAGGTGAAATTTAGATTTTTAAAAAAATCTAAATAGATACTTGATTTATAGTAGTAATTAGACATTTATTTTTTTTTTCTTTAAAGTTGTTACTACAGATGTGGGATGTGATTTGTTTGACTCGTGGAGATGGAATTTTGTAAGTTGGGTTATGAAATTTTCTTAAACTCGTCCATATTTATGCAATGAGTTTTTTGAGCTGGGTATATAGATTTAAAATTGTAAAAAAAGAAAATCATAAATCATTTGATTTGGTATTTTCGGAGAGCTTCATTAATTTAAAAGTGTAAAATAAATAAATAAAAAAAGTACAACTGAAAAAGTTACAACCAATTGTATGGAGAATTAAACTAAATCCAATTTTGTAGGACGCATTAAATATTGATTAACTTTTATATGTAAAATAAAATAAAAAATAACTGGAATAGTTTTACGTGTTGCTATATTTTATATTTAAAAAAATTAAAAAATCTTCTTGTACATGTTGCGTACCAACATTTTAGGAACTACATGGATATTCTTAAATTAATATTGCATACCCCATATTTTAGGAACTAATTAAATGCTAATTTTATTTGCATACCCAAATATTAGATGCATTAATTAAAATACTTGATAAAATAAGAAATTCATTAATTAAAGTTTGACTTTTCTAACTACTATATTTAGTAAATAAGATCCCTTTTATATAAGTATAGATTATTAGTTAGTTTGTAAAAATGCTACATTCTCAGAGTATTCATAAAAGATAAGGAAAAAGCTCCTTTGTATGAATTGATGGGCATAAAATCTAATGTACACGGAGAAGGGTTGGTGATCGGTTCAACTGGTTTCATTTAGCTCGAGTAAGCCAGTGCTACGGATAACTTGGGTGAGTTGGGTTTATGATGTAGATAAGCGTACGAGTGGGATGCCATTAATGAAAACACAATCTCTAGAACATCTAAATACGATATCAATTCATATTTTCATTCAAAATCAACTGCATAAAACAATAGATGGGGAGTCCTTTAAATAAGACTCCCAAACCCTATTCTTAACTTGTCCAACAAGACAAAATGTATTACTAATAATTAAATGCTAATAATAATAATAATAACAATAATAATAATAATAATAATAATAATAATAATAATAATAATAATAATAATAATAATAATAATAATAATTATAATCCCTTATAATC